ATACCAATTATGGATTTCAATCAAAACCTTGATAAGTAGAGTGAGTCATCTGGGCTTATGCTGGATAAAAACAAAAACCTACACCCATATTGGTTCGATATGGATCAGATTGGATGCCCCGTTTTGTACAGAGAAGGGAGACCAACACTGCCTTTAGTCTGGGCAGATGCCACAAGGAACTCGCTACACCATATTGTGAAATAGCAACAGGTATTAAGTTATTCACTAACTTGTCTCCTGTTTTAAAAATTTCACTCTGTGTAAAATAAAAAATAAAAACCTCAGAAGTGAAAAAAAGAAAACTGCTGTGGAGCCCGGCCACCTGTCAGCAACTTGTGCCATTGGAAAAGACTCTATAATTCCCTTTATAACGACGAGGTACATAAAAAGTGGGTTTAAGAAGGCTGTAAATCATCCATGGCGGGGATGGGAGCCAGACAGGCTTGTTTCATTGCTCTGCCAGCTGACAGCCATACAAGTTTTAAGTGGCCAGGTTTTTAGTGGCTCTGCATCACAGGACGGAAGCGAGTTTGTAGTTAAAGATGGAAGAGACAGGAAAGGAATGTTTTTATTTGAAATGAAAGAAAAAGTGGCAGCAGAGCGGCTTGTTTAGCTACGGCTCACTGTGTCTTATTTTTGGATAAGTTGTTTGGCACACATTGCTAAAATTAAAACTAAAATACAGTCCACGGTAGTGTGTGCTGTGTTGTGTGTTTTTTTTTTTTTTTTTTTTTCTTTGAGCGGGGGGTGTTAATTACCTCCCAGTCTTAACATTCACTATTGCAGAAATGGAATCAAAGTTCCAGTGCAGTTTGATTCCAGTCAGGTCACAGTTTTGTTGAAGAGGCAGAGAAAAACATTTTTCTCAAGTCTCTCAGATTGTTCAGTTAGAGCTTCATCTAGTGCCTGACAGAAGCATTGCACTTTGATATCAATGGCAAAAGCTCTCTGTTCCAAGTTAAATTGCCATGTTAACAAACCCGTGCTGTACTTCCAAGGAGCTTAAAAATATAAGTTTCCCACACGTGGTATAAAGGTGCTGGTGAAAAATATAAAAGCATTAAGGATTAAATTTTGCACGCTATACTTCAAACAAGTGTTTTATTTCAAGGAAAAACATTTTGCAAAGAGTCCTGGCTCACTTTTTGAAAGTGTTAGAAGGGTCTGTCACTCATTCTGAGTCATTTCACTCTGCTCCCCATTTCTTTCCTCTTTATGGAGTGAAAGTTGTTAAATTAGATTTTAACTTCAGTATTTTGGTCAGCAAGCTTAAAGCTCAGATGATTCATACTGGAAAATGGTACCTCGCCAGAAAATGAGTTCTGACTTCTTACTCATGCGTAATAGAGGCCTTTCAATAGATGTCTGTGTTGACTAGCCCTTGCCTTGGAAGAATCACTCAACATGATGTCAACCAATGGAGAAATGGCAGGAATATTAATTAATATCTGCTTTTGTTCTGTAGTTCTTACTACAAAGGATTTGATTTATTTTCAATATGACTTTCCTGGTGATTGAGAACACGGGAGGAATGAAATAATAGCCATATGGAAATATATCATAAAAATTATATAGAAACTTATTTATGAAGAAAACTTTTAACAACAAAAAAAAAAAACTTTTACAATTGGCATCAACTCCACTTTTGATTTAGGCCTGCATTTTTATTTTGCGCTGTTACAAGGAAGTGCAGCATTTACTGGGTGACTGTTGATACTTATAATACAGTGACATGAAATATTGGCTCTGAAACCCAATCATCTTAATACAGTGCTTTCAATTTTAACTGCACTGTAATCCCACAGTCGGGTGCTAATGGAATGGATTTTTTTTGGAAATGGCTTTCCAGTTCTGTGGATAGAGGTAATAGGAGATGACAGGATTTGTTTCTACAGCCAAACCCGGACTGGCATTGCTTTTATGCATGAGATGTGATGGGGTGAGATGGGGATTGCACTGCAAAACCTTCCAGTCTTAAAAAGTGTTATAGTTTTGCAACAAGACATAAAATTGTATTTTTTCCATCGGATTAAAAATATGTGCTTGTGTTCTGTTGTTTGCTTGACTAGTGCAATTTTCGAACTCCTCTGGCAAATCTTAGCGAGTCAAACTATTTCCCCTCATATGGTAGTATTTTTGTCTTATTTTATCCAAAAACTACAGCACTGTGATTCAAAATGCAAATATCGGACTAATATACTTGTTGAGATTGACTTGTTTTTCGGATTTTGAAGATTTGTGTGCGTGAGATTGGTTTGTTGGGCAATGCCACGCGTCTATATGTAGCTCTCACAGAACACCAATGAGGCTCTCAAAATTTGGTTGCTGGATGTTAGAAATCTCTGATGGACAGCAATGAAACACATAACAAAGCACTCAGCTGACCTGTGAGTAAAGTGAGATTAAAACCACACAGCAACAGTGATGTGCCAATGCTGCAGGGAAAGATATTCTGGAAGCTAAAAGATCACTTGCTCATGCTTAATCAGAGGGAGAACAGAAGAGGACCCAGTTGATGCAGAGTAAATTTGTTGGATTCTGTTGTATGTACTGTGAGAGGCTGCTCATTGTGACAGGGGAATTAAGGAAGGGAACATTATGATCTGACCCATTGGACTGTCTTGCAGGCCACATTGCTGGTCTCTCCCTCATCTGGGTGTGTTTTTACAGGTGTCTATTTTTGTGTGTGTGTGTGTGTGTGTGTGTGGGGGGGGGGTGTGTAGGGGTGGTTGCTCTTCCAGTGACACCTCCCGATGACCTCTAATTATTGTCTTTTGCTTAGGTGCTCTTTCTTGGAAGGTTTGGAGAGGGGAGATAAAAGGTAAGGGAAGAAGAATCACTTTGCTGTTCTGTAATTGCACCTTTATTTTGGTGTTTTTGAAGATGGAATTTAGCTTTGAATCCCCCTCAATTTCATTACAGCCGCTATATCCGTCAGTCCTGCCCTCACTGTGAGCCCTTTCTCTTGCTTGTCATATAACTGTGATAACAGAACTGAAAACCTATTTCCATTTAACAGCGAGAGAGAGAGAGAGAGAGAGAGAGAGAGAGAGAATGAGGAAGAAAAAGAGGGAGGCACCCTTTCACAGAGGCCACAGATGAGAGGAGGTTTGAAATGGAACGCTGTGTGAAAGTTCTTCCTCTTCCATGCTGTCAAAATTTATTTCACTTCCATTCTTAGGTTCTCATAACTGTCTTGTGCAAACAGTCTGTGTGTGGACACCTGCTTGGATTCAATTTATATTTTACATTTCGAGGAAAATAAGACTGTCTGTGCATTCCTTTTGTCTTTGTATGTGTGAATACATGCAGGACCAAATATTTGGGAGACAGCAGGGATTTATTGTCCCAGACCTGATGGGAACCCAGGATATGGACTGTAACAATTTTTAATTTCTCACTTAGTACATCAACTGGGGAAGTGTGTGGGGGGTAATATAAGCGTCTGGGTGTGTGTGCATGTGTGTATGTGTCTGTGTGTGAGTGTAAATGCAAGTGTGAGTTCGCATATGTCTGTGTGTATGTGTGTGTTTCTGTGTGTGCATGTGCATGCGTGCCTTTGTGTATGTGCAATTCCTACGATGTTTAAGGTAGTGCAAACTCTCATCCTTTCATAAAATGCAAGACCTCATCTGAGATGGTCAAATATTGGAGGGCTTCCCCTCAGCGTTTCATTGGTGGATTAAATCTCCCTCTCAGTGCCTCTGCATTACCGCCCCATATTCTGTGGAGGTCCTGATGTTTTCTCAGCCACAGCAAAGATGCTGTCACTAAATCATCAGGAGTCATGGGAGACAGACAGATGTAGAATAGTTGTAGAATGTGTGGTCCGGGGGGATTTGCACTCAGTGCTTGCAGTCTTACCAGTAAGATGGGAAACGTGCAGAAATAAGGGCTTGAAAATAGTTTTTAATGAATTTTGCTATGGCTGTACTTTGAGCACCATATCTGTTTGGCAGACTTTTTGCCATACTCTGATAAAGGATGCTGTATGAGAGTTACTCATTAAAATACATTAATTTTGATTCTGTGTCAAGATCTATCACTCTGTTATTGACCGACGCTGCCTTAATCGGGTGCGCATGTGGAGACTGCAGAAGAGGAGGGGAGAGGGAATGTAGCACAATGGCAGCTGTGACAGGCATTGCATGTCAACTATTATTCATGAAAATTACTTCACAGCCTCCGTTGAAGTTGTCTTTGTTTTCACAAGAGATACATACTGCCCGATATAGGGCTTATTGGAAAAAAAAAAGATTAAGTCTCGTCCAAGACCATAACATTTTGAATGGAATTCTCCATACAAAACTGAATTTAGCCCAAGACTCAGCTTAATCTGTGTTTGTGAAACCCTCCTTTAAGGTTTACTGTAGCTTTATCAAATATGTAACTGTGTATGTGGCTAGAAATGATCAGAGTGCAGGTTCTTTTATGTACACCAATTCACAAGCTGTAATGTTAAGATTTTAAGATCAACACAAATTGTATGGGGTTCAAGATGATGAATAAGGAGGCCTCTTACAGCAATGATGCTCACATCTCGAACCAGTTCGGATTTGCCCTCTACCCTGTCCCACAAATAACCCACATGGTACGCAATGAGATTCAACACTGTGAGATTAAAAAACAAAGAAAAGAAAAAGAAAAAAGTACAAAAAAGACAGTGTCCTTGTTTCTGCCCTCGACCGGACAGAAGAAAAGCTAAAACAACACGGCATTACCCCCTGAGTGAGAGAAACAGTTTGAGATGTAATTATGAGCGTCCTGGTATGTTTTCATTACTCTGGATGAACCACAAATGTACAGACAGCGAGGTAGTTTCAGTCAGTTTATCCTGCATGGCAACGTTTCCGTCCTCCTCCAGGAATAACACATTTGCATTGAAGTATTTAGCAGGCACTCTTGTCCAAGGAAACTTTAAAGGCTTATGTGCTTAATATAATCCATTTATACAGAAGGATATTTAATGAGGCATTGTAGGTTATGCATGCTCAAAGAGCTCCCTGGTGGCACAGTGGGTTGTGGTGTTGCCTCACAGCAAGAGGGCTGTGGGTTCAAACCCGGCCTGGGGCCTCTCTGTGCGAGGCTTCCGTGTTCTCTCTGTACTCACATGGGTTTTCCTATTGGTATTTCGGCTTCCACCCGCAGTCCAAAGACATGCATGTAGGCTAATTGCAGACTCTCAATTACCCAAATCATGACTATTTTGAAATTAGATGTCTGCAACACTTTCCAATGAAGTTAGGACAGCTTCACCATTGTAAAACATCCTCTCTGCTTTTAATAACACTCAGCAGTATGTGAGTGAACGGTGTGTGTGATCCCTATACTTGCTTAAGAGAGAATGTGAAGAGCGACATGATTTGGCCTCATGGAAGTTCTGAAGTGTCGTTAAAGTATGCAATAAATACAGGTAAATAAGCATGTTCGAAGGTTCAAGAGCAATGCTCTACCTGGCAATGAAGCCCAAAATCCTCAAGTAATTAGCCTGTTTACTTATACGTACTCAGCACTTCTAACTAATGAGGTCAAACAGAATGTTATCAAAAACATGAACAGCTCGACTGCCCAACCTCATTCCTGGAGATCTTCTGTCATGCAATTTTTCATTCATCCTTTATCATTCATACTTTATCTGTAATTTAACAGTTCGACAATATCTCTGACAGATGAAGAGCTTTTCATTAGCACTGAACAAGGAGTTTCAATGCTATCATCAAATATATATGGGTGGATTCAATTATTGATGCTCTGAGCCCTGAGGGGGATGAAAATAACAAACTCAGTATTACTTCATAACACTTTATTTCATTGATAGCCCTATATCTTGGCTTTATGGAATGGTTCATTCAAGTCACCGACTCCTAATGGGTCAGTTTTTATGGCACGCGCCGTAAAACCCTCTGACAGTGGCGATTCTAAAGTGTGCTCCGGCCCCTAGCAAAAATTCCCAAGGGGCCCCTCTGACAAGCGTTAAACATATTTATAAATAATCTGAACCCCCTCTGACAAGCAGGGCTGTAGTGGTAAAATCAGAGGTGAGTAAACTATGAATTCTGTGATCAGATGGACCACGATGCAGTAAGGCAGACTGCGCGGCGGCCGTGTGGCGTAGGCCTATATTTTGTACCGTACTGGACCGGTGTCATCAGTGTCAAAATTGTTGGTTATGGTTATGATGATATTGTGGTTATTGTTGAATGTTCATTTTTTGAAAAAAAAATGGGATACTACCTGCAGTCTGTTACCCAATGTTTTTATCCTGTGCACATGTGTGACCGTTAGACTGTACCAAGGACATCACTGAGTGCTCTCTCATGCCTTCACACAGTCACTATATCCAATTCCATTATTAAAAGTAATGTTGAAGAAAATTCCAGAATTAATAAATCTATTGTAGTTTAAGTGTTTATTTAATCAAAATAAAACAGCACAAAACATATCAGCAAGCCCACAAAAAAAAAAGATCAACCAACTGTGTCCTCATACAGAAAACAAAAAGGTCAGAGCAGGGTCTGTTTAGAAAAACAAAACAAACTAAATAAATGACACCTCTCGAGGAACCACAAATGTAATTGCATTACAGAAAAATGCTTAACTGTTGGCCTAATGATGAATACGGAGTCCCACAATGTCCACTACACTGTAACTCAAAGCAATGCCCAGAGGGCAATCTACCCCTTCCTAAAAGACCTACAAAAGCATGTCTGAATGTCTAATCAAGTGCTACAGCCCAGGTCCACGGTCACACACGTTTCTGCTATTAAAGGAGCTCCCCTTCGCCCGCGAGAAAAATAAGCTTTGTTCCGCGCTGTACAGCAACGCATTAAACATAACTCGCTACTCGCTAGCAAAGAGCTGTGTACAATATAGGTAACGTTATCGTCACTGACTGAATGCGTCATCTTATGCGAACCAAAACAACCTTTAAAAGATCGTGAAGTATTGCTCTTTGGACTTACTTTGTACTCGAGGCCTTGCGTTTGCATTTGTAGGAGGTGAGACACTGCAGGGACGCTTCAGAAATCGCCTAATATCCATTTTAGCACAACCTAACTTCTACAGACTTCTACAAACCGCATCAACTTGTATCGAGTCCCACTGATCAATAGGGACAGCCTGCCGCTTTCTGATAGCCGCCACAGGCAGTGATTGGTCAGTCAGACACGTACCATAATGCAGCGCAAAATGATAAAGATAAATTGTTTGTGTAGGTACAACACATGAAATGTTTCCAATTTTAAAATGACACCAAATTTATTTAGGAATACGTAAAAGGCATGTAAATGCAAACGTGGATAAACTAATTTACAGGTGCGTAGACGACATTCAGAGGTTCGTAAATGCTATTTTGAAGTGCATCAACGCTATTTCCAAAATTCCAGAGGTGCTTAAACGGCGTTTACGTGCGTTTAGCCTCCACTACAGCCCTGCTGACAAGCGTTAAACATATTTATAAATAATCTGAAACCAACAAAAGAGGTCAGAAACTGAAACTTTAAAAAAAAATTATTCAAAAAAGTAGACGCGTTGCCAACTTTTTATTAATAAATTACATTTAAGCTACCACTTTGTGTGCAGTGGGAACTTTTCTTAGTTATTAAAAAAAATTATTATTATTACTACATAACTTGAAGATTGTGCTCTTATGAAAAACAGGACATTTAAGACATTATTGTGGAGTAAAGTTTGTCAGCCCTTGGGGGCCCCCTAGTGGCCTGGGGCCCCAAGCAGCTGCATGCCTTGCCTGTTGACAAGCTCCGCCTCTGCCTTTTGAAATGCGTGAAACGCGAGTGACGAAATTAAATGCAACATCAAAAGTACGATTAATAATTGTCCTATCTACACCTAATTTTGTTCACAAACTACTACAATATGTTACTTTAAGTGTTCCAAAAATCAAAAACCAGGGTTGAAAACTTATAGAATTATGCGTCGTCGAATATATAGCGCAAAAGGTAAAAGTTGGAAAAAATTGACTCACATTCTTGACTTTACCCTCATTTCCTCAAAACCCATCAGATACTCTTCAAAATCGCTGTACTTTGCCTAAAGTGTGTCTATTATACAAAACAGTTACCCTTTGCCATCCATAAATTACTTAAACAGCACAGCACCCCAAACTTTTGGCCCTGCATTGACCCTCGGAAAACCTCTCGTTCGTCACTCGCGCTTCACCTCTGACAACATATTCTAAAGTCCACCTCGAAGCACCACTATACACCATTGGATTGTATCCATATCACTCTTACCTACACAAAACATGTTCTACTATTAAATTAAGGGCATAAATACACATAGCTGGCCCATCTAGGGTTCCTACTATGCCTTTAAAAATAAAATTTAACTTTTTTTCGCAACATCACCGACTCCGCGCGGGCCAGATCTTAGATAAAAATACCTCAGGATAACTGATATACTTTGTTTTTAACCAGCCATGCATGTCTATTAACCATTACAAAAGAGATAAACACAATACAAGATGATAAATTGAGCTGGTAATCATTCTACTTTAACCATGTGGAAAAATCACTCGTTCGTCACTCTTGTTTCACCCGGTAATGCAATAGGAAAATCAGATGAGTTGAGGCCATAGGAGCTGGTACGAATGAATTTTCTTTATTATTTTACATTTAGGGTTGCTGTATATACCCTGTAACTTTGTTTGGATGGTAGGAAGTATAGAAATTAGCAGTAGTTTGTGCTATATATAGGTAAATGTCAGTGAAATGCAAGTGACGAGGCTGGTGTTGAAAAATAGTTTTTTCATGCTGGCACAGGCTCAGGTCAATGTATGTAAAAAATATTGCTATGAACGTAACCCTTATAAGGACCCTCTTGGCTGGATGTAATATGAACAGTGGGACTACCTTCTTAGTATGCTAGTTGATGGTCTAAAAGTTTCATCACTCACGTTTCAACGAGCTGAAATTCCCATTAAAAGATATAGGAAAAAAAAATGTAGGTCATGACATGGCTAAACCACATGAAATGTTAGATATGACCCCCCACTAAGGAAAAAATAAGTTTATGGTGGTCTAGCACTATTGGCTTGACATTACATGGCTTGGAATGAGGTGATAATGGCCCAAAAATGCCAATTTTGGGCACTTTTTTTAACTTTGGGGTTCAATAACTTGCGAAATTATGGGCCGACATATGCAAATTTGCCCTTTTTTTGAAGCCCTGGATGTTTTTTTTTTCAAATGAGACTAGAAACAGGATTATTTTTTTTCTATAGCACTCTGAAGTCAAAAAGACCCTAAAATAGGCCCAAACATCATTTCTTGGATCCAACCATATATATATACACACGACAGGCCAAAAGTTTAGGGCCACCCTCAGATTTTAAAAAAAATCACACATCAACTCTTCTTTCCTTATTTTTTGCACATGAAATGACTTCAGTGCATAAAATATAGGAAGCCAATAGGTTTTGGGTGAATTCCAGACCTCAGACCACATTTTAAAACTGTCTTGACTGATTGATCACTGACCACAATGTTTTATAATTGAGTTCCAATGCCTTTGTGTTACATGATTTTATGTCACTAGGATGTGAACAATTTTATGTAACAAGACGGCATGCTGTATAAATGCCTTCCCCAAAACCAAGGGGTCACATTGCACTTGGTGCACCATTAAACATCTGAGGGTGGCCCCAAACTTTTGGCCTGTAGTGTATATATATTTTCTCATCAGAGCTGTTTCTAAATGTGAAGTCTGCAACATGTTCAAATCATGTTGCATCACTGTGTAACATCCGTCTCTGCTTTAAATAATACTCTGTAGTTGTTTTGGAACTGAGGGCACCAATTGTCGAATTTTTCCATTCTTGCCTGATACACAACAGTTGGTGAACAGTCACAGGTCTTCATTGTTGTATTTTTCACTTCATACTACGCCACACGTTTTCAATTTGGGACAGTGCCGACTGCAGGCAGGCGAGTCTAGTACATGCATTCTGCGACTATGAAGCCACATTGTGGAAATACATGCAGAGTGTGACCTGATGTTTTCCTGCTGGACTCCCTCTTTGTATTGAGGAGTCTTAACTTGCATTGTCAAAAAAC